GCCTTGTTATGCAATAACAAGCAGCCATCTGGACCTTTTCTGGGATATGAAAATGCTCCGAGGGTACTGCTATACCAGAATGATACATCCTACTGAGCGACTTCTTCACCATAGTATTTGATTGTGAGAACTTTATTGCAGCTTTGTGCAGTCAGTGAGAAGATAGCATCCTAATTCCAACACGTTAAGACAAAGAGGAAACGGGCTGTGTGTTCCTTGCTGCTTATTGTTGCTTCTGTTTCTACCCCACTGGCTGAATGGCAATTACAGCTGACTTCCTATCCAGCACAGAGCCCAGGCCCGCTGAGGATGCCTTGACCCTACAATATCCAAAGGGGAAAGACAAGGAGCTGTCAAAACACACGCCTCTCCCCTGCTCCTGTGGGGAGTGCTCCTCCAGCTGCTGCCCCATGGGGCTCGCTGCAAACTGCTGCTAATCAGCTCCATCTCATCACTGGAAGGAACTGGCCCCAAGTGGATATGGGCCCCTTTCTCACCTCTGTTACCTATAGTACACCTTTGAAGTCCTGCGTAAGTGTTAGTTTATGACTGGAGAGGGTACGATAAGATCCCAATGAAAGGTGATGGATTAGCTTTTCGTCCCACATTTAAAAGGGGAAATAACAGGCTGCTAAAATCCACAGAATCTATTATAGATCTAACACCTAACGGCTAAATCACTTGAGAACCAAAAACACTGTAGTGTCAGATCTGTTAAGTGGCTTCATTAAAACAGCTTGTTTGTGTGACCATTTAGTCGGCTTCCCACACCGAGGTTCTGTGTGGGTGAGCATTTGGTCAAGCCGTTGGATTTGTTTGAGATAGAGAATAAATATAATTATTCAGCACTCTGCAAGTGCAACAGCTTCACTAGGCGCAACATGCTGGGACAGAGCAGATACTTCTGACTCTCAGAACACACCCTGCACAGGCATGCCAAATTAAACACTGGGAAACACAAATACATTAGGAGCAATTAAAGCAATAGCATTAGATAACGTCACACTTGTACACAGTAGAAAAAGTCCAGTCCTCATTGATGTTAACCATTTTAACGATGAAATTAATAAGTGCATGTGAGTCAGACGTAATGGCTGGAGGTTGAGGTTGACAGGGCTGGAGCCAAAAGTCTGATGAATGGCTTTCTGGACATTTTCTGTCTCACCTTGTCTCAGCCCGCCCAACACTTGCACACATTCAGCAACCAATAACAACAGATCCATCTGTGTGCAGAGACTGCGTAGTATGTCATCACATACTGTAAACTAGAAAGAAAGTGTCACCGCAGTGTGACACCAGATGTCATATCTAATGTTGATGTATTAGTCAAGTAAAGGCAAGTCATGCTATTTATTTATTTTTTTATACTCTCTCCACAACAGCTAATGGAAAAGAAAAAAGGAAGAAACATCAGGAACAATGGATGAGCGGCTGTTTGCAAGATGTTATTACACTTTAAATGACATTTGGAAAAAAAAATCCGAGTATGAATTTCACAAAAAAAAAACAACTTGTTTTGTTGCTGACAGAATGGGAATGATTTCATTTGCACTTCACACCCCGTCTGTAACAATATGCATCCTTATCTTGAATAGCAATTATCACCACGTTTCCTAGAACCATTAGACACCTCCTTCCATTACAGACCTTAAAATGTCACCGTCTGCAAGTCAAATAAAAATAGATTTCCACTCACTGGATGAGTTGGAATATGAGCTGAGTACTTCTAGTTTATAAAACAGAATCTATGGCTGCTACAGCTTCCTCTTAGCCACCGTCCGCTGCAGCTCAGTGGAATTTTGCCGCTGCCACCCGCTGACATAATTTGTTTCACAGTCACCACACAACGGCATGAATCAGATGTTGACACTCTAATTTCATGCACACACGGGTGTTTGGCTGAGCCCAGCCCTGAATGCTGCTGCGTTCCTGTGCCTGGCCATCCAGCTGCCCACTATACCTGCCCTTTGCCCTCCAACACAGCAACGTAATGTATTTAGCCTGAGAGTCACACGTGATGACTGGTAATTTAACCACATAACGCTGCAGCGATGAAGAGGGCAGGTGTGGGAGTTTCACTTGTGGAATATCATTCCCACACTGTATAATTACCATAAGACAAATATGAATGAGAAGATTTACTAAGAGCCACGTTTGTATGATTAGTACTTTTGGATATTTATGAAAACTACCACACAAACTCACAAATTTAAAAACATGATAGTAACTGTAGTATGAGCAAGTAAAGATTTTCATTCAGCTGCTTCTTCTCCAGCCGTCAGGAGGGCACCGTGTTGCTCTGTTTACCACTAACATAAATCTATTTACCATGGTCCACAGCCCTATCTGAAAATATTTGTTTTACTTTGTTGTTTTTATAAAGAACCACACGTACTTGAAGAAATAATAAAATATAGCCACTAGCTGTGTTTTGAGATGTCAAAGTCTTGTCAAGGATTGACACATTTGCTGAGCATAATTAATTCAGGTTTTGTCTATCACTGATTATCTTGCTTCTTCTAAAAGTCAGCACTGACAGCCTGCCGTGGGAAGGAGGACGAGCTGCCTCATGTCCATGTCCTCATTCTGTCAGCTCAGAGTTGGCGTAAAGTATTTTCAACACAACTGACCAGTAGGAATATATACCAAGAAATGTATACACCATAAATAAAAAAAGGCGATGGTAATTTCTAATATCTCTTCTTCACAACAAATTTGACAGCGTCTCTGAATGGGCATAAATCCACAAGATAAACACATAAACAAATAAGTTGTTTGTAGGCAGTGGAAGCCAGATAAAGGCCAGGGTTTTATGAAACACTTGCTTCCTCTTGACAAATATCCAAACAATAAACACACAGTAAATAACAGCACCCTGTCCGTATCAGCTCCCTGCTTGAGGTTAAGTTGAGTTTACTGTGGAGGCCACTAGCTGCATGCATTAAGCAAATCATAAATTATCCATGTTAATTACTTCAGGCCTCCACTTTAATGAATTATTTTAATTAATCTACAACACTGAGGTGTTGCATGTGGTCTATATTTCATCCCCTGCCTGTGATGACCTTCTTCTTTGAGTGGAACAGAGTTAAGAGAGCAAGGACAACACAGACTTGGATTTAGTCCGTTTCTACTGATGCATCTAAACTGTGGAGAATGTCTAATGTGCAGTAGACTGAAATGGCAACCATAGATTTTATCTGTATTATGGAAAAACTGAAGGACAAAAAAAAATAAAGAGACTAGGAAGAAAAAGATTTCAAGCTTGTTAGCAGATAATAATGTCAGAAACAGTTCTTGTTTAAGGGTTTTATTCAGAGGAAATTATTTTCCAGACACTTGATTTCAGATTGCCAGGTGTCCGAGATGGGTTTTCAGAAGCTCTACAGTCTTAGGGTTAAAGTCATTTGGTCATCAGTTTAGGAAAAGCTGAAGGTGTTTGTTTTTAATGGAACCGAGTGGCTTTTAAACAATATCCTTCTTCTTCAACACCGACTTCAGACCACTGACGTCCAGTGGCTCAGTCATTTCTGTGGAACAACTGCCCCGTGCACTGTTTTAAAGAAAGCAGGATGTTGCTTTTGAAATTATAATTTTTGAATTATGAATTTAAAAGTTCATGTTATTTTTACATTTCACATTCTGAAATAAATTTACAATGAATGACTTCTTATTCACCAAAGTTCTTTTCAAATGTTTATCTGTATATTACATAAGCAATTTACTTAGAACAGTACAATACATAAGACAAAGATAAGTACAGTGAAATCCAAATAAAAGGTATTGCACAAGTATAAATGTGTAGTAAATATGTGTTGCCATTATATGTTGTTACAGCTTCATTGATACAGGTGTTAGTGGTTTTAAATGTTTTACTGGGGCTCACTTTAAAAAAAAAAAGTTCCAGATGTTTATTAACCTGTTTTTAAGGTGATTACATAACCAGCCAGAAAAACACAAATCGGATTCTAAATTAAACTGTTTCAGTTTCTATACATGTAATGATCAAGAGTCAGAATTCATGTTACACACACAAATGAGGAGGTAAAAAAAAAAACTAACACTGTTGTACAAACACTCCGTGGGGGAGGGGTGGATTTAAATTCCAAAAGGGTCTCGCAGCTCGTTTCCTAGTTCCCCAGTCAGCAATGCGTTTGTGAAAAATCAGTCTTTTTGTCTTGCTGAAAAAAGGCTAAATCTACATTGGTGGCCCAGTCTAAGTTTGCTATTCTTTGCACTTTCAATTCAAGTGAATGAGGCAGAATGAAGTGGCCCGAGACCCTTTATTTGATCTACTCGATTGCATAAAGTGACGGAATTCTAATGTATTTGTTTAATACCCCGAAAGAGGCTATTGCTCTCTATAGGCTTATATTTGTATTTAAGCTCGTGAAAACAAACGTAAAGAAAATGTTAAAACGCTTTGTGCGCTTTACTGCAAACATTTCTCCGTCTGGATTTATAAACCTGTTAAAGTTTTTAAGTAGGGGGAAATGATAAGGCTGAAAAAGTCTCTTATTACAAGATATATAAAAAACAACACAGCCCTTAAACTGCCCTCCTGTGACGTCTGAGGTGGGAAATATGTACTAATATTAAGTGGGACGATCTGCTTTTCTAAATGTTTATTGTTGGCCTTAATTGTGTTTAGCCTACAGCTTGATGAATGAGGCCAGTTGTCTGCGCTGTGACCATGGCATCGCAGCTCCGCGCATCCTAATGCGCTGCACGATTCACTTCTCTCCTCACTGCTGCTCTGCGAGTCCCACACTCTGAAATCATACAGGTCTGGATATAAGACAAAGCATTTACATTTAAATAAATAAAATTCATATTCATGTCATTACTATTGTTATTAGGTATTATTATTAGCTATTATTAAATCAAAACTAAGAAGGTTTGCCTACTGCCTGCTTTGTAATAATAATAATAATAATAATAATAATAATAATAATAATAATAATAATAATAATAATAATAATAATAGCACCACCTTAGATTAAACCTTCAGAAACATTTTTGATTGTTTACTTCACTTTTAATGAGAAAATATTTTGATGACTTTTTTTCCAGTTCAGACTGTTTGCACACTTTTCGAAAGCACGCATGCTTGCACAAAAATAAACAAAAACAAAACAACAATAACAACAACAGTAGCAACACAAATGTTTAGAATGCATGCTTTACCTAAAAAAAAAACAAAAGTACAAATTGACAGTATCTGATACACTTGGTCACCACAGCCTTTTAAATTAAATGCTTCACAGAACGTTTTCTGGAAAATAGATATCTAAAAACATAAAACTAAAAAGTGCATTTTACAACATTTCAGTTACTTGCAATATTCACATCTTGCATTTTGAGGACGTCTCACAATACTATTGGATTTTGAAAAGATTTCATAACTGCGTTTGCTTTTTTCAGGGATGCAAGAACAAGTCTAAATCCTATTCCTATTTGGTATGCCCTTATTCATCATTCCGATATTAAAAGCAAATAAAAACACAATTGGCTCGCAATTTCATTGACATTATGGTCACACAGAAACGGCGCAAAGGTTTTGCTATTTGATTCAACTGAAAAACTGCCACGGGAGCTGCAAAACACTTAAACGAGAATCGATGGTGCCTCAAACAAACCTCCCCCACTCACATTTCACAATAAACTGAAAAATAGAACTCTCAAATAATTTATATTTTCAAGAGCAATACTTCGCTGTGCGATTCTGTGCTGGACTTCTAGGACACAATTTAAAGCGACACATTCAACACATATACACAGATACATCGATACGCAACTGCAGAGAGACTTGATAGTTTCCGACGACAGAAAATATAAACTTTGGGTTTGGTAAAGGGGCCTGGCAGCCAGACAGCAGTTCGTCTACTGGAAAAAGTTCAGCCGGTCAGTGCACAGCCACAGACTGCAGTGTGGACGGGCTGGTCAGAGTCTCGCTCGGGGTTGCAGGGCTGCTTTGGCTCGTCGCTGTCTGTGGGGACGTCGGGCTCAGAGACTGTGGAGAGTTTGATAGAAACGCGGGGATGTGGGGAGGTAGCGCAGAGAAACCGGGCATGGAGGTCGGGGTGGGCTTGATTGGCACAGGAATAGCCGGTAATGACTGTCCCCCGTGACACAGTGACTTGATGGGCACGCCATAGGCACTGTAGTCGCTGCTTGCCATGGAGATTGGGGCCGCCGTGTCAATCACACTGGTGTTGTACATGTGGGGCCAGGCTGTGGTCAGCTGGTTGTGGAGAGGGTACCCGGCAGACATGGACTGCATGGTGGAGAACGCCAGACTTCCCGGAACCTTGTACTCTCTGGCGATGATGTTCTCGATGGCAAACGGGTGTTTAAAAGTTGATGTCTGAGACACACCGAGGTTATAAGTTGACATCTGGGGAAGGTGTGTACCAGTCGCTGCCAGGGCGCTCAGTCTCAGTTTGGCTTGCTGTTGGAGGTAATGGGCAGCTTCCGATTGCTTACTGGGGCCCAGATGATCAGATGCGGGCAACACTTTGAACCTTTTGCGGCGTCTCAAGAAACTTCCATTCTCAAACATGTCCCCGCAGTTGGGGTGTAGTGCCCAGAAACTGCCCTTACCTGGTTGATCTGGGCGCCGGGGGATTTTGATAAAACAGTCGTTGAAGGACAGGTTGTGCCGCAGAGAGTTCTGCCAGCGCTGAGTGTTTTCTCTGTAATAAGGGAATCTATCCATGATGAACTTGTAAATTTCACTGAGGGGCAGCATCTTCTCTGGGCAGCTCTGGATCGCCATGGCAGTGAGAGAGATGTAGGAGTAAGGCGGCTTCTGGTCGCTGTACGTGTTTCTCCCCGGACGAGGCATCCTTGATATTTTTCAGAAAAAAAAGCAATCTGAAGTACTCTCCCTTAACTCCTTGGTGAAAACGTCCAGCTCTTCATGAAAACAATCGCGGAGGAAAGTTTTGATGCAGGCGAAGCTGGAGTTGCGTTGTGCGTAATACAGCCAGGTTGCGCGCCTTTGCAGTGTGCAGGCGGGTGGACGGTGAACATTTATGAAGTGACGGCTGCTCTAAGTCTTTCTTGCAAAGTAAGTCAGCTTGTCCTGCTAGAAAAGTTGATTAGACTTCATTTGGCGTCCTTGATGAGACGAGCTAAGTGGATGCCTGCATGGTCTTCCTCTAACCATCTGATAGTTTTATGTAGTGACATGAGCAAAAAAGACCCCTGTAGAGGCGCTCCATTAATGTGCCACCTCTTTGCTATCACATGACAATTGCCATGGGAGGAGGGGGCTGGGAGAAAGGCATAATCTGGTTTCATTTACACCTATTTACATGGACACCTTGGGCCAATGGAAATCATTTCCATTTGAAGACAGAAAATGGGGTGAAAAGGCTCGGTAACCGGAATTGAACTGCGATGGCACTCACTGTGTGAAGGTATGCGCTAATACTTCTTCAGCGAACTTTACAAATACATGTGTGTGAAAACAACCATCATACATGTGCTAAGATAGACGCATTTATCCATTTTATCTAAACATGAATGTAATAAAATATTTTTTGTGCAGTGTTGTGTGTAATGAGCAGCCTACAGTTTACAAAAACGTTTTTTTTTTATTGTTAACAATTTTTGTAAGGTGCATGTGATTGAAAACGTTGTTTTACAGATAAAATGCCAAGAAAATCCTTTTTGCTTTTCTCTATTTAGACCCTAAAATATCGCTTATGAAATGTAGACGACATAATAAATATAATACTGCCATGAGCAAGTCTGTTGATGAGCCGACTGTTAGTTTTTCTCAGCTAATTTCGCCTAGAGCTGAGCAAAGGAAGCAGACGATATGAAAACATCAACACAATGCAAACAGTGTCGTTCAAACTGAAATTTCACCAGGCAATCAGGTTTATTGTGTTTATGTAAAGACGTTTTCAAAAGTACTTCAGAAATGCAAATAAACTCTTGAGGATGGTGTGGAGAAAACTGTATAAAATATCCATAAGTCAATTATATGAATGTGAAAACCAAATGGGAAGCCTATTTTGAGCTATTGCCATTCAAGCTTTTGGCCAGGGCCACCTTTCCGCTTGGAAGGTTTGCAATGCCAGGGACCACACACACTCACACGCAGATTTGCTCATAATTTATGCTAATTTTCCCCCATAAATCCACAATGCACCCCATCACCAGTCTGACGGATTACGAAAAGAATCGCATTGCGGGAGACACCGAGCAAATTTGGAGCAGGCTGAAGAAACGCGTCCTCCCTGCTCTATAAGTAGAGAAAATGTAGAGTAAATAAAAGTAAAGGGACAATTAGATGTTCAATTATAATAATGTTCCATCATTTAATAGGCTACTTCATGTTATGGGATATTATATATTACTATAAAAAAAAGTAAAAACGGGAAAAAGTCATATTTTAGTGTTGACTCCCAGCATGCAACTTCGTTATTTTTTCCTGCAGAGTGGCTTTTAACACCTGTCAGTTCCCATTAATGTTCAGCTGAAAAGGTTTTGTCCACAAGGAAGTGGCCCAGTCGACCCATCTGGGGCAGGGCGGATAATGACACACCGCCAAGTGCCAAACAACTTCTGACATTCAGTCTATTAATTCATTCAGCTATTTAAAAGGAAAAAAAACTTATTTGGCTCATATTATTGGCTCTCACTGACATGTCAGTGTACAAAGCAGTCAGAAAGGGTAGCTCATTGCCAAACTTTATGTGGAAAAAGTATGTGGCATGTGACTAATCACACTGCAAACACGGAGGCACGCAGCAAATCATTTGAATATCATTGGCGTGTTTCTTAAACATAGTTCTTAATTTGAAAAATCCCCTTTGAAATGGCAGATCTGTGGTCAGTTTGATTTTGTTCTTTATGCTGCCATGCCAGTTTGCGCTGTGCAAGTTAACCTGCAGCGTTAACCAGCCGAGCTCCAGAGGAGCAGAGGGCTTTTTCTCCTCTCACACACAGACGGTGTGGCTTTTGAGCTTTCAGGGTTATGGGATATTGGTCGACCCTTTGTCCCTGACGAATGCACACACTGAAAATACCACCATGACTCTGAATCTGAAAGGTTTTTTTTTAGCTGCTCCCAAACTCCTGAGTTCAAGCAGCAGTAGATCAAGTCTGCACTATGTTTGGTCATTTGTAGAAACCCGAACAAAGGTTGGGATAAGCCAAATTGCATTGCACTTGTGAACCGTGCCTCAGTCTGAAGTATCCTTTATAACAGGAGGGGACCAAGAACAATTTTGTGTGCGCTTTAAAGAGAGAGGGAGAGAGAGAGAGAGAGAGAGAGGGAGGGAGGACCGAAAACAAAGGGCACTTTTTGAAACATCTTAAAGTAGAGTAGTGAGGCGTGACATTCCCAGGGTGACGAGACACAAAGGCTGAGGTCATGGGGATGAAAAAGAGAATCAAACAGCCACTTTCACACGTCTGCCCTCCTCTGCTGCACCCCCCCACCCGCACCCCCCCGAACACAATAGGAAACAAATGTTGTTAAAAGAGGATCGATGCCATTCATCCTAAAACAGCGAATGATAGCCAAACAATATTGTCACAGTGAATCGAGTTGAGATATGCTGCCACCCAGACCTGCGGATGGGGGGGGGTTCAACTTTTTTAAAAAGTATAACGTCTACAGGTTTTTGACGCTAAAATCATTTTTTAATGATTGTCACTATCTTTTAATTTGACCTCTCCACGTATCGCGGAGCAGATAGCAGACAGACAAACTGCTGGCGATGAACATGTTCGCACTTTTAAGACAAGCATTTATAAACCCAGTCCAGTTTTTTTTGTTCGAGTTGTTTCACTTTTCTTCACGCACATTATTATTTGCAAACCTGTGGGTCTGAAGGGATATTTGAAGTGCTCGGCCTCAGCGTAAACACACGCGCAGTGTGAAGGAAAGCGGGTGCAGTGTGTTGTCTGCAGCCTGCGAGTCTCCAACCCAACCAATAGGCCTGCGCTTCTAATTAAGTCCGTGGTGATTTCAGCCTCCAAAGATGTTTTACGGTGCAATTAAGGACACGCTGATGATAAGGTATGAATATTCAGCAGAATGACAATTAATTAGCAGACATAGGGCTCTCACTAGAACCTCCTCATTGGCAAACTTAGCCAAAATGACAAGATACTCACCCTAGGCCATCTTCACAGGCTGCCCCTTTGAAACATAATTGTCTGACCAGAAATAAGTATGAAAGTATATGATGATAGTATAATATGGTGAATATGTTTATTGTTTATTTGATCAAACAGCAGGATTATAGATTTCCTGGCAGCCCACTCCATTAGTTGTGTCTGGGGGACATTAGAGGGAGTACCTGGAAGAAGACCTCAGGGCATTTACAACATATGCTCGGATTATGCTTAATGGTCTAATTACATAAATTAGGCATTCATTATACAGCGCATCATCTGTAACAGATATCTCAATTGAACAGAGATGGTAACATCTAATTCAGTTTGTCTGTGAATAGTTTAGTTTAAACACCAAAAGACATTAAAGGGATTGAATATTGACCAATACAAGCTTGGTTTGTGGATTTTTTTTTAAATACAGGAAATAAAGGGATTTTTTTTATACAATTGTACAATTAGCTTTGCTTTTTTTTTGTTTTGTTTTTTAAATTTGGGCTTGTTTTTCCTCCACAGTAGCATTAAAGGTATGAAGCGGCAGTTTCACATTGTGACCATCAGATGGGGACAGGCTCTGGTGTCTGAACCACAGGCTTTCTTGGAGTTATGTTTCACATGATACAGGTTAATGATCCTATATGTAATTGTTTCACATTCAAAACATGCTTTCATCCATCTGTCTATGATTTTATAAGTATTTTATTTTGAATTGTAGATTAGAGCATTTTGTACAATGTGAAGGAACATCACACATCTACTGTATTAAATGACAGGCACATGAGTGCATGTGAAACATGTGTGTAGGAGGTGTGTCCCAGGTCATTGACTCCATATGGTGAGAAACAGCAGGACTGATGAGTGTACTACCTGAGGTCCGTGTTTGTGCTGTCAACTGTAACCAAAACAGAAGCCCCTTACCCCTTGTATAATTCATTACAGACAAGACAGTGTGGCTCACACTCTCATTTTATCATTTAGCTTTGGTGACAGATGACTCTGTAACAACAAATCATCCCATTGAACTACACATGATACTTAGGCTGTCACTGCAAATACGGTGCAACAGAAAATAATGTAAATGCAAGAACAATGAGAGGAGGAGAAAACATTTCAATACAGAGCAGGAAATGCAGAAGCCCTCACTATTCTACTATGTATGAACTGTATAATGAGCTAGTTTCATATGAACAATAATCATGGAATTTCTCAGTTACTGTATATATTGTTGAAAATGAGAGAATAATGCAATACTAAGCAATGTGAGAGCATAATATATTAACAACAGACTCAACAAAAGAGTGAACCTTCACTGTGAAGAAGAAAGATAAAAGGGGTTTTATGTAAAAATAAAGTATGAATTAATTGAGTTCTATCACATGTTACCGTTCACAGATTATGAAAATGAGGTGGAAGGCTTTGAGATGGATAACTGTGCAGCATCGCAATGAGGAAAAGATCACAGGATGAAGTAATATTAATGGAGGTTTACAAGTTTAAAGGGGGCAGGGGCTTTAAAATGTTATTGCTCACACTCATCTGCCCTGTGTTGAATCATTAAATACTGATGTACAACACAGTCGGATGACAGGTGACATGTTAAATGACAAGTACTACATGGATCAATATATTGAGTCACATTGAAAGTGAAAATGAAATTGGGGTCAAAGTTGTAAGTTTAACCTTTAACCTTTCTGTTTGCCTTTACTTTTCTATTGGCTTTTAATTGCAAGAAAAGTGATAAAAAGGTAGTTACTCTCCTTTAAGGTTTGAATGTTTGCTCTAACTACACTACAGGTTTTTAAGCTATGGGGGCTTTGAACTCTGGGATCAAATTTGAGAAAGCTGACGTCCCCAGCAACACCACCAACACGTCTTTCCTTTGAGAGTTAGTGTGTAAAACGTCTAACAAAGACAAATTCCTTTTTATTGCAAGCTTGTGTGGTTGGAAGGCACAGTCCTTTGTGTGACTTGTGTTCATCCAAACCTTGGCAGTGATCAGAGCACACTTAACCAACTGGGACCGAATGAGGGGCATTTTACTGTTTTTCATCTTATACATGAGGGAATTG